TAAGAGTGTACTTATGTTGATAAGCAGTAATATACAGAATTGTTAAATCACTATACATCTAAAACTAATACAACACTGTATGTTAACTATACTGGAATAAAAATAAAAATTAAAAAGAGTAATTATTGGGAGTTAAGAGTATCCTTCCAACTTTATTTAAATTAAGTTTTTATTTATTTACTTATTTTGAACCAGTTGGGGTAGGGGCGCAGAGAGAGAGAGAAAGAGAGGGAATCCCAAACAGGCTCTGCACCACCAGAGCAGAACCCCACGTGGGGCTCGAACCCATGAACTATGAGATCATGACTTGAGCCTAAGTTGGACGCTTAACGGACTGAGTCATCCAGGCACCTCAAGAGTATCCTTATAACTTCTAATAAAATACAGAGCGACATAGGAACCATGATTGTTTTTCATGGGAGATCCTATTCAAATATTATAGTAATCTGTAAGATTCCTTCTAAACTTCATCATTTTATTAAGATTTTACTTTTTTTTGTGGAACAGTTTTAGATTTACAGCAAAATTGAGTGGAAAGTACAGAGATGTCCCATATACTCTCTGCCCTTCAACATGCTTAGCTTCCCCCTTTATCTGCCTTCTCCAACAGAGTGGTTTATATGTTACCAGTTACGTTCCTACATTGACACATCATAATCACCCAGAGTCCATAGTTTACATTAGAGTTCACTCTTAGTTTTGTGCATTGTATAGATTCGGTCAAATGTGTAATGACACATATCCATCATGATGGTATTATACAGAGTATTTTTAGTACTTAAAAATCCTCTGTGCTCTGCGTGTTCATCCCTCCCCTACTCCCAAACCTTAACAACTATTGATCTTTTTACTGTCTCCCATCATTTTGCCTTTTTTTCTACGGTTGGAATCATATGTTACGTAGTTTTCTGACATTTACTAAGCCATTTTAAAGTTGAGATATAATTCACATACTATAAATCCACTCATTTGAAGTGTGCAGTTCAGTGGCATTTAGTATATTCACAGGGTTGTGTCACCATCACCACAATTGAATCCTGGAGCATTTTGTCACTCCAGAAATAAATCCCATGTCATTCTCCTAGCCCCTTGAAGCCACTGATACACTTTCTGTGTCTGAATTTGCCTATTCTGGACATTTTATATAAATGGAATCCTATAGTATGTGGTCATTTGTGTCTGATTACTAAACGTTTATAATGATGGTTTTTTAACCTTTTCAGAGTGTGTTCATATTTAAAAGTAAGTGCATAACTCCTCTATGAGGTAGACAAGAACTTTGTGATGTAATGGCATTGTCAGATTTATTATGTGTTCATGACAGTTTACCATAGGATAAAGGAAGGAGAGTTAGAGGTGGCAGGGTAGAGATTTGGAAAAGTACTGTAGAATTAAAGGAAAAATAGAACATGATAATATATGAAAAACACATCAGTCCTATGGGATTTCTAGAACCATGAGTATTAAACTTTATTAAAGTGCAACTGCAATTAAATACTCCAGTTATATTTAAGTATAACATTTGAAGATGAGTTGTTGAGCCTTCAGTAGTTCTAGATTGAATCTCATTTCAGCTGAATTTCAACAAGGTTGAAAGGATGTCAGGATTGTGCCCTTGGTTAGTCCAAACTCTTTAAATGGAAGCCTGTTGCTACAGTATGCAGAAGGGGTATGGTAAATGTATTTGTTTTAATAAATGAAAGCAAAAAGTAGGATTCTTTTGCCTTTTCTACAATTAAATCTAGTAGAGAACTTTTATATAATGGAAATGTGAAGTATTAATTTTTGAAAGTTGTAAATATATTTGAAATTAATGGTTGATATCATTAAAGGTTACATTTTTCTGTAAATTTTACATGTTAGATTTTCTGATTACTGTGGTTTGAAGATGAAAATTAGTACCTTCACAGTTGATTTGTAGTTGTAATTATGTTGAAAAGATCAATAGGATTGCAAATTATAGTAGGTTATTTTGTTATCTACCATGGTTCTGACCTTTTAAAGGAAGTCTGGCTAGATTAGTCTTTGGTTCCTGTCTGACTTTTTGCCCTGAGGAGCTGTGCTGCTGGTCTGTGCACTGGCAAGGACTTCTTTTGCCTGGAAGCCTAAATGATATTCCCTGTATTTCTTTTCCTTGGGTCCCGTGACTGTATCCTTCTTGTTTTTCTTCTCTCAACAGAAAGAGTCTCCTTGGATTCCTTCTATAATACTATTTCTAAGAGAAGTAAGTTCTAAAATGAGTTACTGAAAATGAGAGGTATTCTTAGGTTAATAAAACTCTTGACTCTTTTCAGCACTTTAAATAAAATTTTTGTCTTAGAAGTTCCAGTCTCATATTGAGTTGCTTAACTATGACCTTAGAATCCCTTTTCCATTTTATCTTTTCCTTACATCAAATTACCCTGCTGGGTTGAGGTGGAGGAAATGGGGGCAGAGGGGTAGAAAGAGAGTTACCTGTGTATTCAGGTAAGAAAACCCTTGGGCAAGCTATGAAGAGAATAGTGTTTGCTAAAATAATCTGGGTGGGATTTATGTCTTGGTGTTTTAATTTCTGTGTGTATGAGTTACTGTATATAAGATTAGATGGGAAAATGCTGATTCCAAAAATAATTGACAGTGCTTTAGCCTTTTAGTTATAATATAAAATTTAAGATCTTGTCAGAGCACATAAAAGCACTTCTTAGTTTTTAGCTTTTTATATGTCTAAGTACTTCACAATCAAGAAGCTCTTTTTAGGATAGTTGATAGAAAATGTGGTCCCTTAAAAGCCTATTACACCTTGTAAACTAAAGTCGTTAAGAATATTTAGTGTTATATAGGTATTCAGATATGGATATTATTTACATTGTTTTTCATTAGTGAAGTGATAATGACATGTTTGAATATTATTTATGTATATTTTGTTTTCCAGCTGAATTTGCATACATAGCTGCTTAGGAGATGGGTATGATTTCTGTTGGAACACATGGACATGTGTAATGCACTGAATATCAGAGATAGAGATTTGTTTTTTACATCTGTATTTTCAGTATCCTGTTTTAATTTTCTTTGTTTATATACCTTGAAGTGAGATTTCTGCATCATTTGGTGGTTCTATTTTTAATTTCTTGAGGAAAAAAATGTGTTTGCCAAAGTGGCTATACTGATTTACGTTTCTACCAACCGTGCTCAAGGGTTCTCTTTCATCCACATCCTTGCCAACACTTGTTACTTCTTTTTTTAAAAATTTATTTAAATATGAGTTAACATACAGTGTAATAATGGTTTCAGAAGTAGAATTTAGTGATTCATCATTTACATATAACACCCAGTGTTCATCCCAAGAAGTGCCCTTCTTAATACCCATCACCCACCCAACACCCGTCTAGCAACCTTCAGTTTGTTCTCTGTATTTAAGAGTCTCTTCTGGTTTGCCTCCCTCCATTTTTATCTTATTTTTCCTTCCCTTATCCTATGTTCATCTGTTATTTCTTAAATTCTGCATATGAATGAAATCATATGCTATTTGTCTTTTTCTGACTGACTTATTTCACTTAGCGTAATACATTCTAGTTCCATCCACGTTGTTGCAAATGACAAGATTTCAATCTTTTTGATTGTCGAGAAATAATCCATTGTATATATACATATATATCTCCTTTATCCATTCATCAGTCGATGGACATTTCCATACTATGGCTATTGTTGGTAGTGCTGCTGTAAACATTGGGGTGCATGTGCCCCTTCGGATCAGCATTTTTGGATCCGTTGGATAGAGATAGGAGAGATTTTAAGGGCTTATAAATTCTGGTTGCTCACTTAGAAAGTTATCTTCAACTTGTCATGTTTGGCTCTTAGAGTTACAGCCTTATTATAGCCAATGATGGGAATGTCTACTCTTTCTAGGCATCCCATTCTATTTCTCAATAGTTCTAACTATGTGAAAATTGTGCCTTGCATCTCTCACTCTACTAACTCAACCATTTATCATAATTTTGTTCCTCTAGATAAAGTCTCTTTTCTTTAAATTTACTCTTTTGTTGTTTGAAGACAGGTATCATGGATCTCGTTACATCTTACTTATGCTAAGCAAACCCAGTTTTTGTTGAGTTATTAGTAATGTTATAGCATTCCTCTATCCTTATCACCAAATGGACATATTTAAATCCTTGACTTTCAAATTTTTTTTTTTTACTACAGAATACATTTTCTTTTCAACTTGAGGGGGTAACAGAGGGAAAGAGTAGAGAATCTCAAGTAGGCACCATGTGTGGAGCCCAGTGTGGGGCTCAATCCTGCGACCAGAGGATCATGACCTGAGCTAAAATCCAGAATGGGATGCTCAACCAATTGAGCCACTGAGGTGCCTCTACAGAATACATTTTATATCCCAACTCGATACACTCATAAATATATCTACATGTAGTACATAGTTTGAATATACACATGTAAATGAAACATCAATTTCATAAGACAGTATATATTTACACTGATATTTCCTGTTTTCTTCCTTTCCTTTTTTTTTTTTTAAGAGAGAGAGCACATGCACATTAGCAGGGTTGTGGCAGAAGGAAGAGGGGAGGGAGAGAATATTAAGCAGGTTCTGCGACCAGCACAAAGCCTGACATAGGGCTTGATCTCACAACTATGAGATCATGACCTGAGCCGAAATCAAGAGCTGGATGTTTAACTGACCGAGCCACCCAGGTGCCCCTGTACTTTCTCATTTTTCAAAAATGCTGATGTTATTTCTCATATTGATTATATTACTCCCTGATGGATTTCAGCCTGTAGTTTGGAAAGTACTGTTTAGTTTGTTGATGTTGCAGAACTGAAATAAATATTTACTAAAAGCTGATGTTAGGCTAATTGTTGGTAAAGTAGGTTTTATCATTATCACCTCAAAGAAAATATTAAATATTATAATCGTTGTTATTGGGTAAAACTAAACAGGGTTATCAAGTTCTTGGTTATAAATGCAGCAAAATTAAAGTATTTTCCACTTTCGTTTTTATTTGTAGGTGGCGACAGACAAGGTTGCAGAAAAACTGAGTTCTACTCTCTCATGGGTGAAGAACACAGTATCACATACAGTCAGTCAGATGGCCAGTCAGGTGGCAAGTCCATCTGCTTCATTACACACTACATCATCATCTACCACACTATCCACGCCAGCCCTTTCACCATCTTCCCCTTCACAGTTGAGTCCAGACGACTTAGAACTCCTGGCTAAACTGGAGGAACAAAATAGGTAAGTGAGGTTGCTTGGCTTTTCTCTCTCTGCAATTACATGAACTCAGCCATTCATTTATGTATATATGCCATTATCAAAGTTTACTCATATTAAGAATGTTTATTTTCTAGTCTTTGGCTCCTTGTTTGTCAAAATTAACAGAAGTATTCAAGTCTTGGGAGGAGTTGGTCTTAATACTAAAGTTGTATTAAAATTTTCTCCTGGCTCAGATAGCTTTAGAAATTTTTTTTTTTGTTAATATAAATTCCCTAAATTGTTCCTGAATTTTAGAATTTCTTAAGGCCAATAATTCTACCATTTTTATTTCTTTTAATTTTATTTGAGGGAGGGAGGGAGAGAGAATGAGAGAGAGTGCAAGCAGGGAAGGGGCAAAAAGAGGGAGATACCATATCCCAGGCAAGCTCATGCTGTCAGCATAGAGCCTAGCATGGGGTTCAAACTCTCAAACTGTGAGATCATGACCTGAGCTGAGATCAAGAGTTGAATACTTAACTGACTGAACCACCCAGGTGCCTCCAAACTGCTACTGTTGATTTAAACCCTGTAACTAGTCACCTTTGGTTAATTTGTAAAGTAATTTAATTTAGGGTGGATGTTTGATTTATGGTTCAGAGTGGGAAATCTCTTCGTTCAATTTATTTATGGAAGGCAGTATCTGTTTCTCTTAATGGGGATGAAATAGAATAGTTGTTTGTTAGGGAGGTATACCTTGGACCCTGTGTGCTCTTTCATTGTATTATTATCAGAAGTTATTTTGGGCATCAGCTACAAAAGAATCATTGGAAGAGTCCCCTTTTGTGTTCATTTAAGTTCAACTCCCACTGGCTTTAAGAGTAATAACAGATTAACAGATAACTTCTAACAGCTTTTTTTCATTTATAATTGACATGATTAACTACACATACTTGTATGCAGTTTGGTTTTGACATAGGTATATATATCTGTGAAATAATCACCAAAGTCAAGAAAACAAATATATCCATTATTCATCTTTGCATCCCTAGCAGCCATTGATCTCCTTTCGGTTATGTAGATTAGTTTGCATTTTCTAGAATTTTATAGAAATGGAATAATGTACTGTGCAACTTTTTTGAGTGGCGTATTTTACTCAGCATAATTATTTTGAGATTCATCCATGTTGTGTGACTAGTTCATTTTTTTTACTTGCTTAGTAGTAGTAGTCTATTGTATGGATATATTCTAGTTTATTCACTTTTTATTATGAAATGCTGTAAATACTTGTGGACAAACCTTTGTGCAGATAGATGTATGCTTCATTTCTCCTGGGCAAATACCTAGAATTGGAATGGCTGTTTTATGTGATAGGTGCACATTTAACTGTGAGACTATTTCCAAAAGCCCTATACTTTTTCACATTCCCATCAACAGTGTATGAAAATTTCAGTTCCTCTACATCCTTGCCAATACTTGGTATGGTTAGTCTTTAATTTCAGCCATTCTAACAGGTATTGGTATCTTGTAGCTTTTTTTGTTTTAAACTTTATGTTTGCGAGAGACTTAGACAGCATGTGCAGGGGAGGGGCGGAGAGAGAGGCAGAGAATCCCCTCTCAGCACAGAGGCTGACACAGGGCTTGAACCCTCAAACTGATATCATGACCCAAACTGAAATCAAGAGTCGGATGCTCAACTGATTGAGTTACCTAGGTGCCTGGTGTCTTCTTATAGTTTTAATTTGCATTTCCTAATGGTGTTGAGCATCTTTTTATGTGCTTATTTGCCATTGATGTATCTTCTTTGATAAAATGTCTGTTTGAATTTTTTGCCTGTTAAAAGTTAGGTTGTTTGTTTTCTTATTACTATATTTTAAGAGTTCTTTGAACATTTGGGATATGAATTCTTTATCACATAAATGTTTTGAAATATTTTTTCCCTGTCTGTGGCTTCTCATTCTCTTAACGGTATCTTTTGTTGTACATTTTGGTGAAGTTGTAAATTTTGATTAAGTCCAATTTGAAGTTGTTCTTTTGTGGATTGTCCTTTTGATAACTCAAGGTCACACATCTTGATGCCTATATTTTCTTATAGAAGTTGTTTATAGTTTTAAGTTTTATGTTTAGGACTGATCTATTTTTTAAAATCAGTGTTGTTTTGTTTTGTTTTTTAGCTTATTTATTTTGAGAGAGAGAGAGACAGCCAGCATGAGCAGGAGAGGGGCAGAGAAAGAAAGAGGGTGAGAGAGAGAATCCCAAGCAGGCTCTGCACTGTGATCACAGAGCCTGATGTGGGGCTGGAGCTCATGAACTGTGAGCTCATGACCTGAACCGAAATCAAGAGTCTCAACTGACTGAGCCACCCTGATGCTCCTAGGTCTGATCAATTTTGAGTTAGTTTTGTATATGGAGCAAAGTATAGATCAAAATTTATTTTTTGAATATGCATATTTAATTGTTCTTATACCATTCATTGAAGAGGCTGTCCTTTCTTAAATATTTTTGTACATTTGTCAAAAATTAGTTGTCAGTGCATGTATAGGCCTATTTCTAGACTTCTCCTGTTCCATTGCTGTTTTCTATCTTAATGCCAATATGGTACAGTTTGATTACTGTATCTTTATAATATGTCTTGAAATGAGATAGTGTTAATCCTTCAACTTAGTTCTCCATTTTGACTATTTTTGGAACTTAACATTCCCATATTTTATTTTTAATTTCTTAACCATTTTTATTTATGTTTGAGAGGCAAAGATAGAGCATGAGCGGGGGAGGGGCAGAGAGAGCGGGAGACAAAGAATCCAAAGCAGGCTCCAGGCTCTGAGCTTTCAGCACAGAGCCCGACACGGGGCTTGAACCCACCAACTGTGAGGTCATGACTGAGCTGAAATCAGCTGCTTCACCAGTGGAACCACCCAGGCACCCCTCCTATATGAATTTTAAAACAAATTGTTAATTTACACAAAAAATTCTTTTTTTTTTAATGTTTTATTTATTTCTAGGAGAGAGAGAGAGACAGTGTGAGCAGGGGAGGGTCAGAGAGAGAGGGAGTGACAGACTCTGAAATAGGCTCCAGGCTCTGAGCTGGAAGTCAGCACAGAGCCCAACATGGGGCTCGAACCCATGAACCGCGAGATCATGACCTAAGCGAAAGTCGGAAGCTTAACTGACTAAGCCACCCAGGCGCCCCTACACAAAAAATTCTTAATTGAGATTTTGATTGGAGCTGTATTATTGCCTTATGTATCCTGCTGTGTTTGCTAAACTTTTGTTCTGGTAGGGTTTTTTTTTTTTTTTTTTTTTTTAAGATTCCTTTAGATTTTGTATGTGAATGAAATGAGAATGTCATCTGTGATTAAAGCACTTTTATTTTTTCCTTTCTGATGTGTATGCCTTTATTTCTTTTTCTTGCCTTATTTCAACTGACCAATACCTTGAGTACAAATTTGAATATAAGTGGTAAACATACATTTTTGTTTTCCTGATCTTAGGGGTGAAACATTAAATTTGTTAACTGTAGGTTTTTGTAGATGGCTTTTATCAGATTGAGGAAGTTCCTTTATCTTCCTCATTTGCTTAGAGTTTAAAAGAAACAGATTTTGGATTTTGTCAACTGCTTTTTCTGCATTTATTGAAATGATCACATAGTGTTCGTTTTATAGTCTGATATGGTGAATTACATTGATTTTTGAATGTTAAACCAACTTTGCATTCCTGAGATAAACCCACTTGTGATAAATTGTCTTTATAAAATATTGTTGGATTTGATCTACTAAAATTGTATTTGGAATTTTTGCATCTTTGTTCAGGGTGGATATTGATCTGCAGTTGTCTTAGGATTTTTTATATTTATACGTATTGTCAGTGCGATCTTCTTTTCTAATATTTGGTGCTGTACATTTTTTAAGTCCTGTGTTAGCAACAGCCATTTAAATTTATTGAGAATTGTTTTATGATCCTGAATATGGTCTTATTTTGAAAAACATCTTATGTGAACTTGAGAAGAGGGTATATTAAGCTATTGTTTGGTGGAGTATTCTGTTAACATTAATTGATTAAAATTTATTGGTAATGTTTTAAGTCTATTATTTCTTTGCTGTTTTTCTGTTTACTTGTGATACCAGATATTGACAGAGGAGTACTGAAACCAACTATAATTACGGATTTGTCTGTTTTCTTTAAATTATTTCAGTCTTTGTTTCATGTATCTTAAAGTTGTATTTATTAAGTATTTACACTTTTAAGTTTGTCATGCCCTTTTGTGAAATGCCTTCTTTATTTTGGCAATATCGTTTGCTTAGACATCTGTGTAGTCATTGTAGCTTTCTTTTGAATAGTGTTAGAATTTTATACATTTTCCGTCCTTTATCTTTAAAGTTTGTCAGCTGGGCAGCATATATTTAGGTCTTTTTAAAATACAAACTAATGATCTTTGCCTTATAATTAGAATATTTAGACCATTTACTTTAAAAAAAAATTTTTTTTTTTACAAATAGTTTATTGTCAAATTAGTTTCCACCTAACACCCAGTGCTCTTCCCCACAAGTGCCCTCCTTCATGCCCATCTGCCCTCCCCCCCACATCCATCAGTCCTCAGTTTTTATCAGCATTCAAGAGTCTCTCATGGTATGCCTCTCTCCCTTTCCCCCATCATTTCCCCCCTTCTTCTCCCCCTTGTTTCTCAGTTAAGTTCCTCCTAATCCTCCTATACGTGCAAACATATGGTATTTGTCCTTCTCTGCCTGACTTATACCATTTACTTTTTTAAAAATTACAGCAACAAGGTTTTATTTCTTCCTCACATTTCATATTCATCTTAAGCTGCAGGTTGAATACATCTTTGTTCCATGCTTCTTTATTCCAGGACCATAGACCAGCTCCCATCTGGGATAAACAAGACTTGTGGCAAATGGAAAAGAGATAGAGTGGAAATACCGTAAAAGTGTCTGTTAGGGAGTAATACACATAATTTCTATCTAGATTTTATTGGCCAAAGCAAATCAGGTACCCAAACCTTTTGGAATGGGGTGGGAATTAGAATCTTA